CCCCAAAACCCCAAAACCCCAAAACCCCGAATATCTTAGTATATTATATTGTGAAACCTTATTAAAACTAAAATAATAAATTATCAATGGCTTAAAATCTAAGACTATTCTAGCTGACTAATAGATTTTCTCTGTTTAATCAAATAGTCAGGAATTTCTCCACAAAGTCTCCAATTTCAGATAGGAACTTAGTAAAGCCAATACATCATTCATTTTATGGGGAGAGACTTGATAAATTTGTAATGCATCATCTAACTCTTACTTGGCCAGCAGCTCAAAAACTAATCAGATCTAAGCAAGTTTTTATAGTGAAGGACCCTAACTAAATAAATGAATTCCCAGAGGACAATGTTCCTAATGAAAGTAGTGAGGATAATGTAAAAGAGGAGGCTAAGAAGAAATCTTAGTTTGTATTTAGAGATGCAAAGTATAAAATTTAAGAAGGTGATAGGCTATGCTACCCTAAAACTGTAGATAAAGAAGCTATTCAATCAAAGTTGCCAGAAGTCATTGACAAGAAGAAGGAGAATTAGGCTATTAAGAAAATCAAAGACATGATTCAATTTGAAAACGAGCATATCATAGTCATCAATAAGGATCATGGAGTGCCATCATAAATGGGCTCAGGCTTAAATGATGATAATTCTAGTCACTTTTCAATCGATACAATGCTGTAGTATTATTGTCCAGATAGTGAGGACTTGTTTAGTGGGGGAAGACTCATTCACAGACTAGATAGGAAAACAAGTGGGCTTATGGTCCTAGCTAAAAACAAAGAAATGGCTAAGGTACTTGGGGATAAGTTCAAGTAAAGATAAATATACAAAGCTTATTACGCCCTCATTTGTGGAATTCCCTCTATTCCAAGAGCTATAGTTAGATAATCGTTTGATAAGAAGGAAGTTCTTTGGGAGATTGAAACATTAGACAAGCATCGTAATATTTATAAAAGCCCTGATTATTCGCAGCATATTGAGGGGGCTAAACTAGATATGATTTCTAAGTATGAAGTGCTTTCAGTTTCTCAGCTTGCAGCAGATTAATGGATCAATAGACCCTAGAGTGAGATTTACAGAAGTAAAATTCCAATTGTATCTCCAGAGTAATACAGTTATGTCAAATTTGAGATTGAGACAGGTAAAAAGCACTAAATTAGACTTATGTGCAACTATGCTTTGTAAAAGCCAATATTTGGAGACGATAAATATGGCTATGATCAAGAGAAGCATTCTAATATCTTGCAAAAATAGGTAAATGTATCAAGTATATTGGGTAAGCAGAGTATAATGCTTCATGCTGGATAACTTGAAATACCAATTGATCCTGAGTGCAAGGAAACTATGCAGTTTACAGCAGAACTTAAGGGGAACATGGAGAGCTTATTAGATACCCTGCACATTCCAAAGATTTACTATGTCTGAACCCCTGGAAAAATTGGATCCTCAATAAATCTAATCCTGAATTAATTAATCTTAATTTAATCACTTTATTCATTCAGCATGTAATTATTAAGAGTTATGGGGTTTTGGGGTTTTGGGG